GATTGAATGTATGCAGGAACCTTGGGCCCTGGGCCTTCCACAAACTTCAGTTCCCTTGCTCGTGGATGGGTCCTGGACTCACAAGAATTGGTACGATGCCAAGTAGGTTCGATTCGGCTCTGGATCGTGTACTCCTACGTACGGTAGGTGCTCGTACCGGTAGCGGTACGACCTACTAGCTAGCTTCCAAGATACTAGTAGGGCATCTTCCGCACACGTGCGACTGTACCAGGTACCATTTACATGTAATATAGCCAGCTATCATATTTTCGATTCCGAGCCCATGCAACGAAACGCTGAATGATGCAACGATGATGCTCCTTCTTTCCTGTACATGTTGCGACTGGAAAAACTACATGTAACTCGATAACTCGATAGCATTGCCTGACCACTATCAATGTCCATGAGTTTCTAGCTATTTTAATAGTTAGCTATAGCCAGCTATTATGATAGCCAGCTAGTATGATAGCTATCGTATGGCGCCTCTCTGAACCAATACGGTAGGGTGCAGATGCCAGGACATGTACATGTACGCATGTAAAACTAAATACTGTCCTACTATGTTAAAAAAAAAAAATTGCTTGCGACTATCCTTGCTCACTTGCTACAGGTACCTGGTACCAGTAGCTGGTTTCTCTGGAAATGTGCTGCTCTGATGGCTTGTATGATTTATCTCAAGCCCTAATCGCAGATCTTGGATGAATGCCAAGGAAGAGGCTGAAGGCCAGCTGAAGGGCGAGGTTCACCATGGCCGTCGTCCTGGTTGGATTCACAGTCTCGATGAACGTGAACAGTAAGCTATCAAAGTCTGACGGGGGTTTGGAGTAAGCTATCAAATAATCCTTAGACGACCTACTCTCGTGTCCTTTGGAAGATGATGAACTCTACTACATTCGGTGCTCCTCTGATGAGACACTCTGAGGGACAGGTTGTCCTCGGAGGAAATGGCGAAGATGTCGTTGTCAAGCCTGCAGATTACCCTGGCCGCGAACAGCCCTATGAACACCGCTTTTCGCCATATGATTTCAATGGTGGAACCGTCGCCGGTGTCTCGGGCGAGGACTACTTGGTGATTGCTGCCGATACGCGAATGAGTTCTGGCTACGAAATCTTGTCACGGAATACATCCAAGTTGCATCAACTCAACCCCAATGCCATCTTGGCCAGTTCAGGCTGCAAGACCGATATGGACCAGCTTCGATCTGTCTTGGATATCAAGAGCAAGGTGAGAATTTTGTAGTGTGGTGGGACGTGAAGAATCGAGATGATGCTGGTGGGAAAGAGACTGAGAAGAAAGATTCAATCCAACTCAGTTTGTCTGTTTGTTCTCTCTTTTTCTGTGAAACCAATCTCGTATAGATTTACCAGCACAATCATCGCAAATCCATGACGGCAACCTCCACTGCTCAGATGTTGAGTAACACTTTGTATGGCCGTCGATTCTTTCCCTATTATGCTTTCAACGTTCTGGGGGGAATCGACGCCGAAGGCAAGGGATGCTTGTTTTCCTACGATGCCATTGGTAGTTTTGAACGCACCCAGTACTCGGCCACTGGATCGGGACAGGCCTACGTGATTCCCTTTTTGGACAATGTCATTGGAAACCGTAACCGCACCGAAGAAAAGCCTACCCTCTCCAAGGAAGAGGTGGTGGAATTGATGAAGGAAGCCTTTGTGTCAGCAGGAGAGCGGGACATCTACACGGGAGATGCCCTGGAAATCATGGTCATGACCAAGGACGGGGTCACCAAAGAAACCTTTGAGCTCAAGAAGGACTAATTTGAATCGATTTACTAGATATAGATGTGTGGTTGTAACGTATATTATCGATTGCATCTTTTTTAAAAAAGGGCACCTTTTCTAGCTAGCTAGCCAACTCAAATTGCAGAAAAAAGATTTCCCATCCAGAGGTTCCCTCCAATGGATTGATTCCTTTTCCTGACGGAAGACTAAGTATCATCTCTCGCTGACATGTGTTTCCTGACCAACTCGAGATCCGCCTCCTCCGCAGCTGGAAGCTTGCGAAGCATCAACAACCGAGGACAATGAATGTTGGGATGGTACGATGTAGTGGGTTGACACCTCTCTGAACCAATACCGGTACGGTAGGGTGCAGATGCAGATGTCAGTACAGGTATGATACACAATATATGTAAAACTGAATATGATCTGCGGTAGCTACTCGTGTACGGTACCTGGTACCGGTAGCAAAGAACCCTCGCGTGCATGTCATTGATGCTTCTGCAAAAGACTGTAGAAATTACTATACTGTTCTACAGTGTCCGCAATAGTGATTGTTCACTGTTTACTGTTTTAACTTTTCTACAATACAGGTAAGCATTTATAAATTTCGTGTGTCAAGTATGGCTTCCTCCATTCCTCATCGATTCGGCAACCATTTACTTAAAGGACAAGGTCCAATCAAGGAGAGAAAACCGGAAATTTACTGTTTATAAATGTCATCTCTGGAGTTTTTCCTCAGAGGGATAGATTTGCATTCCTCCCTTGATATTAAGATATCTCTAAGTTCACCTGGACCCTGAAGGCATCTTAGCAAAAACTCAAATATCTGCACTGAGAATCTTCTTAACGTTTTGTTAAAATTCAGGGTCCAAAGGCAACATCTTAGCTTTCTTGCCATTTCTATTGACCATACTAGTAGTATGATACATACCAACCTTGCTACTCTGCTTTCCACCTTACGGAACATACCCCTAGGAGAAGAGAGGAAAGAGCAGTGTATCATCCGCCGGAGGCGAAATTTTTTACTTTTGGTACCTGTTTTTAAGGCATTTTGTTGTAGAAAAGTGTCATTGTATCATCTCTCAATCTCTTATGTGCCCAAGGGAGAGTGCTTACTGGCTATCTTAGCTCTAGTAGAGTGCCGATCTGAGTGTCTCAAGTATCTTAACATTTTAGCAAAGTACTCGACATCTCATCTCCAACTCTCTTAATGTCAAGGGAGGAGTGTACTGTTTACGTAGTTTCATGTGTATGTTTCACGTGTTTTGCAAAGAAAAGAAAAACAGTAAAAAACGGCTATTGCGGACACTGTACTGACGCAGGACCGAGAAAATTCCAGAATTTTGCTCCCTGCTCCGAGGTGGCAGCAGCGACCAGAGTGCGCAGCATCATCTCCGACAGAGAAAGCAGCAACAGCATAAAGGCAGCGCGTCGATACATAGTCGGCACTGGTAGCAGTGGTTCGACAGCGCAGCGAACAGAGCTATTCTTGTTATATCAGTGTTGTGCCAATTGATCGAAGGTCTCAGACAAGGGCACCTCATTCATACCGGCTGTGAAGAGCTGTGCTGCCCTTATCATTCATACAGTATCACTTGACTGACACCATGGTGGACCTTGTCGAGCGGCTTGACGTCTTGTTGGCTCAGGAGGAGGGAACCTACACGACAGTGGACTATCTCACGCCCGATCACCAGCGGAAGTTGTTGCTGACCTGTGGTGACGACTACGATTCGCTCGTGGAATCGTCTTCCGCATATGCAAGTTCTAGTTGTTCTTCGTCCAATTCGGGCATCAACGAGTTCTGGCGAGAGAAGATTGTCGAATGGAGCTATCAGGTCATTGACCATTTCGACTACTCGCGAGAAGTTGTCAGCGTTTCCATCCATTATCTGGATCGGTTCCTCGCGGCGCGGCATGTCAACAAGAAATCATTCCAGTTGGCTGCCATGACCAGCTTGTTTCTCGCAGTCAAGCTCTATGAACCGGGAAGAATCAGCATGTCCTCCATGATTGAGCTCAGCAGAGGATATTTCACGGTTTCCCAGCTCGCGAACATGGAGCTGGAACTCCTCAGGTAAGGGACAAAATTGCTTGCATTATTTTTGTTATAGCCTGGGTTTTGGAAGTGGTTGCGAAAGAATTGGGCAGAAAATGGCAACATTTCTCATGAATATTTTCCAAGGGAGCAATTTGGTTCTACCAAGCTAGTGTGGAGCTATTCAAAGTGTTGTTCTCTTTTGTCCTTTAGTTCTGGTTCTTTGGACTAACTCACTGTTGATGTTTCTCTCTCGAAATTATTTTAGGGTCCTATCTTGGCAAGTACATCCACCTACAGCCTATTGCTTCTCCAAGCACATCCTTTTCTTGATGCCATATACTTCCATATCCATGGATAGTCGCCACGATATTTTAGAATTGACCCGGTTCCTCGCGGAGCTCAGTGTCATCGACTACTTTTTTGTGGCTCGCAAGGGATCCTCGGTTGCCCTAGCGGCCTTGCTCAACTCGATGGATGAAATCCCGGCGGTATCCAAGGAAGCCAAAGAAGCGTTCTACAACGAGCTTCAAAGAATCAAAGGCATTGATGCTGAGAGCCCAGAAGTCCTAGACTGCCGCGAGAGGCTCCGACTTCTCTACGCACAGGGAGGCTACTCCCGTCCCGAGTCCGGAGCTGGTACTCGGAACGATGCGGTCATCTCACCTGTGTGTGTATCGTACTCGTTTACGACTCCATACCAGGGCAACCCAGCGGCAGAGCAAACCCAGCTCACTGAACCCAAGTCCACCGCTACTGCCCCCACTGCCGAAGGTTCCTCCACGACACTGCTTTAGCCAGTACGAGCATGGCAAAAGCAAACAGACGTTTTGCTTCCAAAATCCAAACCACCGACCATCAAACCCTTACCTATGCCATGGGTAAGACAGTGTTTCTCTTCTATCTATCTATATCACCAAGCAATGAGAAAGACCAGTGACACCACCACTGTGCATTGCTGCAGCCCTTGGCCAGAACGATCCTCCCAGCGGCCACTGCGGCGCGCCCCATACTATCGTATTGATGCGCTGTCATGAAGACACGCACTGCAGGGCTATACTTCACTCTTCGCACGCATTATACCAATCACGAAAACCTTACTATGCATGTGGCATTAGCCGTACACTATATAACTGTATTTTTCTACAACCTCGCTTTCAGTTTGCAATCTATATAAATGTGTGCAAATCTTTGGGGTGTTGCTTTCAACATACCGGTAGGTCACAAGTTCCACGAACAGACCAGCCTTCGTAGTGTTACCAGTATGTTCGAATCACTCGTCCTCGTAACAATGCATATGCCATTAGTCCTACACGAGGTACCTTGTATCTGTATTTCTTTACTGTAGCACCTTGATTTCGGTTGGCAAATATTGCTGCGTTTTCCAGGAACAGACCAAAATTCGCAGTACTACAAGTACGTTGTAATCACTCGATATGATACAATGCATGTGCCATTAGTCGTACACGAGTTATCTGTAATTTCTTTACTGTACGACCTTGATTTCAGTTGGCGAACGTAGCTGAGTGTTGATTCGATTCTTTAGGATGTTTCTGCTGTCTCGGTTTTTTCCACTCTCAGTTCGGCGCTGGGTGTCATTCCTTCAACGAAAGGACGGTACAAGTACTGGAACGGACCAGGGTCAAGGAACTTGTACAGCGGGTCCCTTTGGCTAGCTTCTTTCAACATGTCCAAGTGCTTTCCGACAGGGTTCATGGTGTTGGCAGCAATGGCTCCAGACGCGGCAGCACTCGGAGTTCCAATACCTGGGAAGCAAGAATCACCGCATCGAAGCAATCCTTCCACAGGAGTCTTGAAGTTGGGAAAGGGAAAAGGCAGCAAATTCTCTAGCAGGCCAGCGTAGGGTGCGGAAGTACCAGCAGCCCAGGCCATCCCGTATGTTCCACGGTCTCGACGAAGGAATGCCTCGTGAGCCAAGGGCGAACCAATGATGGAAAACTCGACTCTTTCCCGAATGTCAGGGATGCATCGTTCGACAGCTTGCCACAGGACCTTAGCCCTTTCTTCTTTGTAGGCCTCGTATTCCTTGCTGTTAGGCTCGAGCTTTTCCCAGGGCTCGTAAGGTTCTCCACCACTAGAATAGACGTGGATGACATGCTTGCCCTCGGGACAGACAGTCCTGTCCAGAAGACTGGGAATGAAGAAACTGCACAAGTTCTGCGAGTCTTGAAGGGAGCGTCCCCAGTCCTATTGTTCAAGAGAAACATCAGTACGTGACTTGGCCGAGCAACCTTTTAAAATGGATCATGCTTTGTGCGACTTACCTGAACTACAAGGTGAGCTGGATCCTCAATGTGACTGAGGTCAAGATCTTTGGCATCAATGGCAATGAACAAGTGCATGATTGCGCCGTGTCTGGGGAGCTTTCCAAGTTCTCTTCTCCAGTCGGCAACACCGTTGGGAAGCTCTTGCTCAGTTCCAAGCATCTTTACAGTGTCGAAGGGGGTTGCATTGGAGACGACAGCCTTCTTCGCCTTGACTATATTTCCATTCTTCAGCCGTACTCCAGTGGCTCTTCCGTCCTCTACAATGATTTCGTCAACGTGAGCATTCAGCTGAATCTTGCCTCCAAACTTCTCCAGAGCCCGGACGAAAGTGTTTCCCATTTCTTTAGTTCCACCAATGGGTACAGAGTAGCAAGCCGATTCCTCGAAGAATCGTTCCAAAATGTAAAGCATGTGGGCAGTCATGGCTCCCTTGGCTGGGAAACCGCAGAAGATACACATGGTATCAATAAAGTTGCGCAAGAATGGAACAGTAACGATCTCGTCAACTGTCTTGTGGAGGGAATCAAATGTCAGAGAGAGATCAAGGAAAACATCAGGATGGGTAGCAACGAACGGAAGAGATCCCGCGGTGGTTGCCAAAAATCCAACATCCTGACGAAGGTTAAGGAGTGAGACAGCAGTTGTGGATCCTCCCAAGGTCTTGAGTCGCTTTCTCAAGGCGTTCCATTCCTTTGTGTTGTCATTGTTTTTTTGCGGATGTAAGAATTTCAAAAGCTTTTTAGAAAATCTGAAACTTGTGACTTGTGAATCACAATCGCAGATTGGTCTCCCAAAAAGCTTACCTCGATTGCCTTTGGTCCGTCTTCAGCTTGTTCCATCAACAAATCATTAAATTTTTGCTGGCTACCAATGGGGAATCGCCAATAGCCTGTGGGTGTCCAATAACCCAATCCAGTGTAAGTCTTAACAGGCATCTCCTCTTCCAAGATGTCATAGATCATTCGAAGGGGATTCAAACTGGGCCTGTCAAGTCCTTCAAAGATGGATGGTCCAACTTCGAAGGAGTACTTTCCACCATTGTGCATACGAGAAAAGGTGTGGGCTGAGCCACCACACTTGATATGGGACTCAAGGACCAAAACTGTAGAAAAGCAACGCAATCAAAAACATCAGATTGAATATTCCCAGAGGAGGAGGTCCTCTGATTTTCTTCATCGCAAAAGCTGACTCACCTTTATCCCCATACTTGGCACTCAGAGATCCACAGGCCAATCCACCCATTCCAGAGCCGATCACAATGACATCGTACTCTCCCGAGTCACCGGACAATCCATTTCCTGTTCCTGGGTATGTAGGTTTGTCATATTTTGGTTCCAAAGACATGTCATAGGAGAAAGTCATCACTTTCTCACGGGATGTGTTTTCGGTCTGAGCCACATTCGTGTTCTCGGAAGTGGCGAAAGCCGCCGTGGGAGTTTTGAGAGAGGGCTTGGGGGGAGCAAAGGCATTGGCAGCAGGGGCCAGCGCCAACAAAAGAGCGAGAGCAGATCTGAAGTTGGTCATCGTACCAATAGTTGCTTCTTCTATTGGGAGACAACAACCGGGTGATACAGTAAATATGCAGAGTCCTTTTGGTTCAGGCCAAAGGGACGAGTTGATGGGATGACGAAGATTGTCTCCTTTGTCAATCAAGAGTTCAACTTCAAGGTGTCAGCTCTAACCCTATTCGTTCCAAGTGGAACCATCCTGTGGTCCCACTCCCCACAGCACGAGCCATACGGTACGATGTACTACCCTACCGGTACGAGTGCTAGCTAGCTTAGCTACATGTCCTGGCTAGCTAGCTACTGTAGTAGTGCTTGCTACTGGAGCTTTGGTTTCACTCAAGCCGATGGAGCAGTGTGGGCTGTTGATATTGATGGATTGTCCCACGGTCATGCAGGTGGCTAGGAATTGGTTGGCGAACTTTGTTGGAGGCTACTAGCTAGCTACTAGGTAAATATCATATATATATATATCGAATATTTACAAGGAATGTGATAGGTAAGGGAGGAATTGAATCCCAGGGAGCTTGCACTACTTTCTTCTCCTATCATCGGGAGGGCCTTCTTTCCTAGGACCCCGCTGTTCCATTCTGGTTCGAGTGGGTATTCCTTGACGCCTTTCTCTCCGGCTAGGAACCATGGATCCTCCAACTCCTTTGTCCAGTTTCCAGAGCCAATCCTTGTAAAGCTTTAACCTCCAGTCGCACTCTTCTTTGACTGCATCTTCAAAATCGTCACCCACAAGCCTCAGCCTAATCTCGGCCTCTTTGCGAAGCAAGTCACGGAACGTGTCGATATCCATCCAATATCGAGGAGTCGGAGGATCATCCAACTTCAGCCTCTGTCTTTGGCCAGGCGACACCCCCTTTTTCCGAACGTTGTAGACATTTTTGGGGCTTCCATCTGCATTGAAAGCTTGCTTTTCTCGCGATCTCCTATTGTTCATTGCAGTTTTTCGCCTTCTTTCTCGCTCTTCCTCCTGCGCCATTTTTCGGCGATCGTTGACGGGGGGTCGCTCACGAATTGTAGTTGTAGGACGTTTGAGCCTGTCTTCCTCCAGCAGAACTTCCGCCTTTGACCTGGGCAAAACTTGCACGACTTGGGCCGTAGTTTCTCCTTGTTTGTTTTTGGGGGCTTTCCATTTCGAGGGGATGCCTCTGGAAGGTCGAGGGGTTTTGTTGATCATCACCGAAGCTGCAATGTCCGCACGCAGCCCCGCAAGATCTCGTTTGTTGTAGCCGAGATCTGCAAGAGTAGCCAATGGCGCTACTTGGAGCCTTTGCTTGGATATGTCAAAGAACAGTATAACCTCCTCGTCAGATGCAACATCAGTGCTGTTGGTACCAGTAGAAGTCTCCTGTACAGCTGCATCTTGTGAATTGGATGGCGATTTGCCTTTGGATGAGGTTTTGTCCGTACTTGCAGCTGTTTCCTGCCTCGTTTCACTCAATGAGGCTTCAGAGGCCTTGTCTTTTGGCTCTGACTGATTGGTACCAATTTCTACCGGGCCAGCCTTCAAGTCTCTACTATTGTCTCTGGATTCCTCTACTTGATTGCTGATCCACGCGGACGGAATGCTGGAAGGCCGTTCCATTTGGCCATCGAGGATCACATCGACAACATCTGGCAAGAGCATTGCAATTTCGTCTTGAGTATATCCTAGTGTTGTCAGCTCTGACTTCTTGTCACTCCTATCAACTACTTTCTCTTTGGAACTTCTTGCGGCATCAGTGGCGACGGGAGTGTCAACAATGAGGTTTTCCCCCTCTGTGGATGGTTTCTCTTCTACGGCCTTTTGAAGTGTGGGCAACTCTTCTGCATCCGAGATTTCGGTATGAGGCATTGACTGTTCTTCCATCAATGTGGAGTTCTCTTGTTTCTGAGAAGGTGATGCTTCTTTTTCCAAACCGGTCGACTCCTTGGTTTGTGCCTTGGAAACAGTGTCAGCCACAATGCTCGAATTGCTTTGCGAGGCCACAGTGTTCACTTCCGTACTGTTTTCAGGAACCTCAATCTTCTCTGTTTCTTCGTGTTTCATTTCGATGATTGTTGCATTCTCTTGGCTTGTGCTGGCAGAGGGCTCAGTAGTGGCATCCAATAATTCTTGTTCTTGACTCTGGCTCACCGGGGAGACCCCGGCATCAGCCTCCGCTTTTAAAGGCAAGGTCAAATTCGAGGTGATAAAAGTGGATTCCTGGACTTTTCCCTCTGAGGTATTGCTGGCAGTCATGCTGACTGTTGTGGTAGAATTCCGATCTAGTAGAGTAGGCGCTGTTGCTGCTGGATCAGGCTTGATTTGAGTTGAATCTTTGGCTGTCAATGTGTCTTCCTCTTCTTCTAATTCCAAGACAGATTTTAATGTTGATGCTGCTGGAATGATGGGCAACGCAGATGGCGGTGGAAGTCCAAGTTCCTCCACGGTTTTTTCCTTGAGCACATTCAAGACAAACTGATTATACCATTCAGGATCTTGATTGGCTACAACCTGGTATGCTTCCAATTTGGATTTCTTCTGCTGTTCAGAAAATGTTTTCTTCGTGTCATCAGTCATCTCTAGGCGGTCCTGCCCATCGCCCTGTGTGGAATAGTGCAGTGCCGTGCTGGATTTACTGGTACATGTAGTTGGAGCTGCTGTAGCCAAATTTGGATTTCGGTTGGATCTGCGAGTGTGAGTGCGACTGCTCACGACAAACGCCACAGAGCCATGATTTCCATTATCCAATGGCAGAGATGACACAAGGCCACTAAGATGGACCAGGACGAGTCCACAAAGTGTCCAAGGCATGGTCCTCATCATCATCTTCCTGCTTGTGGATTTCTGGGCCAATAAATACCAAGAAGTTTGTGCAGTGGTTTGCCATGCAGGCAGGCAGCTTCGTCATCAGTGCAAAGCGGCAGAGCTAATTATTCGGAGAAGAATGCATCACAACTCTGCTGTATTGATTTTATCAATAGTGGTTGGCCATGGGGATTTTGCTGCTGCCATCGAAACTGCATCAGAGCCACCCAGCTCTGGAACTCTCGCATCGGCACATCCCTCATAGGTAGTAGGTTAAGGGAAAGACAGCTCCTACCTAGCCAGCTTCTCTTCTCCTCTCCATCATTATCATCAGAGCTCTGAACTAGTTGACACTAGCTAGAGAAGCTAGTTTCCATCATCGTCCATCCTACCGGTATCTCATCTACTTAACCAGTTTTCCCGGGACACCCGACCGACCCTCGAAGTATGTTTGACCGGAAGAAAAAGAAGAGCAAGTCGCCTCCACCATTGCAACAGCCCAGGCAAGACGACAACAATAAGTATGTGTACCAATACACAGTAAGAGATCCTTGGCAATGGGTCATTTCCGCTATTGCTACCGAGTCCATGACATCCGTCGAAAAATTCAGTGATCTACCTTCCGCAAAACTGGCTACCAATGGTTCCCCTGCAGCTGTACAACAACATCAGCCTCAGGAAGCCCCACAACAAATGATGTCGGGTAATCCTCTTCGGGCGTCGTCAGCTCGTCGTCGTCAGAAAATGGCCAAAGAACGAAGAGCTGCATTGCCGGCTACCCTAAGATGGGAAAAAATAAATGCCAAGACGGGGGACATTGCCACGGCCGTGCATGGAACCTCATCGGCGTTGGACAGTCTGGAAGATAAAGACGAATTGGTCAGGACCATTCAAAGGTGTCGATGTGAACACTTGAACCTCTCCCCTCCTTCGGTACTCATCAATTGGGATGTCTCCGAAGAGGAATGCAAACGAGTTCTGGGAGATGCTCTGCCCGTCTTGCCTGGCAATCCCGCTACCTATGCCGTCCTCAAGGAACCCATGGGAAGCAGAGGAGAAGGAGTCTTTTTTGTTAAGGATGCCGAAGAAATTCATAAAATCATATCGGAACATCGTCAGAGAGCTCAAAAGGAACCGGGATTCCTAGACAAATTGATTGCTGCCAAAGGGAGAATTCCGAGTTGGGGTACGTACATACATGTATACAGGCTGTTGACTGTTGAGGAAGAGAAGGAAGTGATTTCTGTGGCAGTTGCATGAGTACCGTACCTGCGTCTTTAGTGTCATGTGCCTCATGAATGAATTGCTTTTGCTGACAAAATACCTGTACGTTTTGATTATCCAGTTCTTCAAGCAGAAGTGGCACCCTGTCTCTTAGTCAAAGGGAAGCACAAGTTCCATTTACGAAGTTTCCTGGTCGTCGTGGAAAATTTATCACACCCAGATATACTGGAAGTATTCGTCTACAAAAGGCATGAAGTTCGCATGGCAGCCACTCCTGTGGCAACGGACGACCCGTCCAATCGCGACCGGGAGGCACACATAACCAACGGGTCCAGTTCCGAAACGGAAAAACGAGAGTTGCTCGACAATATCAAAGAACTCACCGACCGAAACATGCAAGATAAGGTGGAAACGTTCGTAGCATCTGTCTTTGGCTTACACTTGCTTCCTGACATGTTGGGAAGGGTCAAGTATGCGGCAAGCCAAGAAGGACCCAGTCAAACAGCACATCAAGTTCGTAGGTTTGCTGTTGCCGCAATCGACATGATGGTTTGCAGTGATGATCGTATCTACTTGCTCGAAGTCAATGTCAACCCGTCGGCTCCACCAGAAAACCTCGTCAACAAAGACTTTCGAAATCATTTGACCGGCTTCATGCAGGACTTGATTGATTTGATCATGGAAAAACCATACCAAAACTTCACCCTCGCGCGTGATTTGCTTCAGCGAAAGGGATTGTTGGATTGATTTTCTAAAAAGACATGCAACACGCACACACAACAACAAAATCACATCACATAAACAAGTCAGGTGTAACTGAAGTCATAATGGGTGTTCTAGCTAATGGTTACCGGTGGTACTTGGGTGGTCAGGTCAGAAGGAGGGATGTGATACGTCAGTACAATAACGTAACGTACAACTTGACCCCTTGGTACCGTAGCCAGTGTGCACAACAGAACGAAACAGCAAATCCACAGGTGGCGAGCCTTGGACTGGACTATCATGTGCAAGGGTCCCATTGGTCCAAGCCAAAGCATGGCCCATGCCAAGCCATCATGTTGCGTCGTCTGTTCACTGCCAAAGGGAACCGTACCTCATCTGGTCACTATCTTCGTTGCTGCTGCTGCCATTCCAGCATTGACTCCACTTTCCAGAGCCCCGTTCAACGAGGCTGTCGCCATGTAATCCCCGCACAGAAAGAGACCACTTGGCAATTCTCTTCCTAGAATTGTGCTGCTGTCACGACCTCCATTCACTGTCGCTGGGGAAGCTGTCCCGAGCTGTAGTGGTTGGGCATTAGGGATGTAGTAGATTCGTTTCAGTTCCCACTTCTCTCCAATGTCTTTGCTGTAGTCTGGAAACCAGTCAGCAAGCTGGCTTCGTACAGCAATGTCTAGCTCTTCTTCCTTTCCTTGGTAGGCATCCATCGCTCCTTTGAGTATGGCCACACTGCACAAGCCGAATCCCTCTGGTGCGTAGTCTGCACTCACAACTGAAGGAAAGCAAACGTTGTTGATAGGACTAGCATAGGAATCTCGATCTTGGCCTTCGCCGTTCAGAATCAACAAAGGATCTGACACTGGGGCTTCACCTTCAAAGGCGTAGTAGAGGCAACCAACAGAGCGTTGCGTGACTGGGGTGGCTTCCTCAGATAGAAATTCAAAACCCTCCAGTTGCGAAAGAAGCCTTTGTGCAATGCCCACATCAGTGGCGACAATAACGTTCTCAGCTTCTACAGTAGACTGTGCAGTTTCCATAACAAAGCCGCCAGACTCATTATGCGAGAGTTTGGTGACTGCATTGTTGGTTCGGATGGATAAACCGAGAGAGAGGGCATTCTCTTCCAGTTGTTGGGCTACGGCTCCCATGCCATTTTCAGGCAGCGTCGCACTTCCCTCAGACAACATTTTGAACACAAAGGAGAACATTCGTGAACTTTGCTGCTCGAGAGGAGTCAGAAAAATGCCTTCAAAGAATGGACGAAAGAACCTGTCCATCATCTTGCTAGAGAAGCCCCATCGTTCTTGTAGCGCTTCTGCGGTTGTCGTTTCAGGTTCTTCAAAGAGAGCCGATATTGACTTTCGTCTCACATTTACAATAAGAGGAACCAGTTTGGTCTTGTCTTTGATGGATCCAACCGGCGAGACGAGTGCCGAGAAAAGATCTCGGGGCCTTCGCAGTGGATCACTGACTTTCACCAGCTTTCCCTTGCCTTTATTGTCGCGAATCTTTACCAGAGCTCCAGGTAAAAACCTTTTCAGCTTGAGCTTGTCATAGTCTAGCAGTTTCTTGGCCATTGGATACTCTTCGATGAACACAGCAAAGCCCCTATCCAGGAGAAATCCGTCTTGGGTCCGATCCGATTGGACTCTTCCGCCGACTCTGTCTGAAGCTTCCAGTAGCACAATCTTGTCATCTCCCTCAACGTTCTTCGCTGCAGTTATTGCAGCCACAAGCCCACTCACACCACCACCAATTATGCAAAGAGTTGCCGTTTCAGCTGACGGGGAGCTATCTCTACTCGTCGTTTCGGCTGCTCTCACTTGATCGGAGGGTGGCGAAGTATTCGTGACCAGGTCGGAAGCTGACACACCGCATTCAACCGATAGCCTCTGGTTGGAATCCCATCTTTTCGCAAAACCACCACGAGGATCAGCTACAAATGCTGATGACGACCACAGAGCGAGAGAAATCAGACCAACAAGCAATCGGTGTGCTTTCGTCCTGGTCAACATCATCCAGTTGCGTGAGTTTTGCGACAATAAATTTATGTGAATGGTGAAGATAAGAATCTTTGATCGCTTTTGGTCGAGGGAGATTCAGTCGTACTATCTATGAAATATTAAACCTTTTCAATCGCGTACTTTAAAGCTTTGAATAGTACTTCGTGAAGATATGCTTTGCTGCCGTAAAGGAGAGCTATGATTGTATTAATGCTTTCACACCACTGGAAGGTTTAAATAAAGAGCAAGAGTCGGTTTTCCAGAAACCAAGTTGGACAAGATTTCAAAGATACGGTAGGGGGAAAAGTTAACATTTCGGCCTGGAGCGGGAGTTGAAATTCTTCCTCATCTCATTTCGGAGCTTCCTCTAGCTAGCTTCCATTCTCATCTAGGACGTTGAGTGGGGCCTTGGTACGAAACCTGTTTTCAAAGAAAGACTTGATTGCACTAGCATACCTGTTGCTGATTCGAAGGAGAGGAGGTCGTTCTTGATGTTTCTGTACTTGTGTGCGTGGAAGGTTAGGTAGTTGAAGAATTTGCCGAAGAGGTCGTGCCACCATGCTTGGTAATTGCCAAGGTCTCCCAATCCTAGGTAGGGGAGATTGTCGATGGTTGTCACTGGTGCGCGTTTTTCCTTGCAGAGAATCTCTAGAAAATCGTTGAAATGGGCTTTGGCGGCAGGGGTCTTATTGCTTTCGCTCTCTTCTCTGATGTCCTTGAGTAAAGACTCAGCTATCTCTTTGTCTTCGGCTTTGGTCACTACCGTTAACGTCAAGTTTTCTCCTTCTTCCTCCATAGTGGGCGTTGAATGCTAACGACAGATGGGCGTTCGAACAATGAGGAAATGAGCGTTTAACTCCAAGGAACAATGGGCGTTTGTTGCGTGAATTCTGACCTACTAGTGCACTACTGATTCCTCCTTCTGCAGCCTACAGCCCAATAGTTCCGACTAGAGTCTACTAGTTCTTATGCTGCTGATTGCGCCACTGATTCTTATGACCGGGTTCCACTGACAAGAACCTGATGAGTGAATCTTGGAGGATTCAAAACCCTACACTAAAATAGTGGCGAGGCTGACTCGTTTATACCAGTAACATGTTCCAGTGAATCTTCTAGATTCATACCGAGTGAGAAGACTGATGCTCAGAATTGCGATATATTTAGAATTCTTATCTTGAACCTTGTTGCACAGGGGGCACGAGTTTGAGTCTTGGAAGTGGGATTACTATATAGAAAATAGTGGGGGACCGAGGTGGATTAGGCGAATCTTCAAGATTCATTCGAAACGTATACCTTGTTGCACAGGGGGCACGAGTTTGAGTCTTGGAAGTGGATTACTACATAGAAAAAAGAGAATCTTTAACCTTACTGTTAATGTCGGTGGAGCTGTGACTTAACCCTGCAGAGATATATTTAGAATTCTTATCTTTAACCTTACCATAGGGGGACCGCAGTTTGAGTCTTTAAAGTAGGATCAGGCGAATTTTAAAGATTCATTTGAAACCTATAGTAAAACAGTAGTGGGACCGGGGACCAGAGGGGGTAATAATGGCGCCGTAACGGTTTATCATTAAGGTTAATGTTATTGTGTGCCCCTCTGGCTTCTACAAGTCTTGCATTGCATCGCCTTGCTTGAAGTGTATGTGACACATATAAATACATAGAAGCTAAACGAAGCACCTTACTTTTGCATAATATTACAGTACTGTACCCGCTTTTTGCTGGACGATGACCACCCTTGCTGGACGCCACTGGAACGTGACTGATTTTCTCTAGATCAAACAAACGGCAGGAAGGCCCGGTCATACGACTGAAAATCGCCAAGATCGGCATAAAGTCGCACAGGAGCACCAAAGTCGCATCAAAAGTCGTTCATAAAGTCGCATGCGAGTCGCACCAAATTCGCGTGCGACTTTCTCACATGACTTTGAAAGTCTCGCAAGTTTACTGTAAGTACGGCGATAAAGTCGCGTCGGATCGCTGAAAGTCGTTCTGAAAGTCGTACCAAAGTCGCACGCGACTTTCCGAACGACTTTCAGCGATCCGACGCGACTTTGACCATAGCAAGAAGAATCCGGGACAAACAGTCCCATGACGAGGCCTTCCAGGTGCCGTTACCCCCAGATAGCTACTACTGGGGACCAGTGTCCGTTGCGTTTTCCACGTTGGCATCAGTGTCATCATTGCATTATTTGGTGTGGTCCTATTGCAACGCTCTGCCAAAACACAACAATCCCCAGCAACAGCACGGAACAATGGAGCTCTCAAACAAAGCAATGATTCTAATATTAATGCGGGTGAATTCGCTCACCCTTCATTTGCAACCAGCGGTCGACAAAGCAATGAATCTGTTGATGTCCATGAAGCTGACTGTTTGTTTGCAACAAGCAGCCAACAAAGCAATGAATCTTTTAATGTCATTGAATCCGGTGGCTTTTTACTTGCAACGATCAGCAAGGGAACTGTCGAAGGAACAAGTGGAGAGGATGTTTGTTGACATGTTAATAGCCAGCATACATGAGACCATGATACCCAGAGACGAATGGCTCATTCTCCAACAAACAAGACCAAAGGAAGTTCAATCTTGTCAAAATGCATTTCTCGAAATTGCTGCTCTCAAGATGTCAGACCGTAATCGTTTATGGCTTTTCGCCTACAATTCGACATGTCCTCGTCCCTCAGATATGTTTGCAGGGTCCTTGTCGCATGCGTGTAGAATTTCAAGCACGCAAGTTTCGGTGGTACGAAGTGTCTGACCTTGGACGATTGAAGTCAGTAGATGCACTCTATCAAGTGATCTCATCCAATCCTGTTGCATTTCTTAAGATGCTAAATATGGGTGCATGCGTTCCAGGTATTGAAGATGGTAGGTCCAAGGTCGAGTCAGTCTTGCTGTATGATCCTAAGTTGAGCTCTAGCAGTGGAAACAAAACAACAAACTCTGAACACATCAGTTACAAGTATGCTAAGTGCATTTATGGTTGCTCACTTTTGGTTGTGGCAAAGTAACCATCAATGCACTGCAGTGGCCATCAAACCGAGCTGACCAATGGAGGGGACATAGGAACATCCAAAAGAGAAACCAATTGCCTGAATTCTTGGAGGGGTTGTTTTGTTTGTTTGATAGCAGTATCAAACTCCTGTGTTATCATGGTACCGGACAGCTGAACCATGGTGAACCACAAGCAACTCCCGGAATTTAAACTTTCTCACGGTTGTAGGCCAACCAAAGCAGCCCTGACAAGACCAAGCCACCGGCCGCCTTTCTGGCCACCATTCTGACTGTTTCAATGCGTGAAAGTCGATCTTCATCCCACATCAATATACGGTAGCGGAATCGATGCCCAGCGCGAGGAGGTTGGTGTTAAGCGGTGGTGGCAATTGGAAGGTTACTGTTGTCCCATCAGCTTCACAACGAAACAAAAACGTAAATCCTTGTCCCACTCCTGAAATAATTGAATAAGGATTAGGTGTAAGAAGTTCTCCAGGGCCAGCACGACCTTTCGCGGAATAGATTTGCATGAAAGGCCGTTCGCCGCTATTCACGGCGAGACTCCATTTCCAAGCAACGAGATGCGCCCAGGAAGGGCAGAGAGCTTGTTTGATGCACAAGTTCCAGCTGATATCACCTTCAAAAGTAGCCATTGGATGTTGTGAATCACTGGAGCTTGAATAAATTCTGTATTCTCCCACCACCTTATCCGGTTCCGCAGGGAGCCAAGGGTACTTTTCGACGGGTCCGTCACCGTTTTAGAGGTTCTTGTGATGTGGGAGACTCCGCTGGGACCTTCCGATGGATCATAAATGCATCATTGTTGCTTTTTCTTCTTACATTCTTCCGAATAGGACACCGGATTTTGATTGCTCATCTTTGAGTAAACGTCGTCGATATACTGCGAGGCAGAAGAGGCAGTAGGAGCTGGCTTGTAACTGCGTTTCCCTTGGTCCTAGGTCAGGAACACGAGGCTCTCATCGGTTTAATGCGACGTTCGTAAAAATTTTCCCCACAAGGATTGAGTCCATCATCACTGGTAGAGGAAGCAAAGTGTAGATGTTTGGAAGCGGCAGGTCTTCGAAGATAGAGGGATGAGAGGATCCGTATTGTGTCGTTAAAAAGGAATAGCGTGTGTGCTGCTTGTGTTGTTGCGATGGCGGCGGCGGTGGAAAAGCAAATTTTGAGGATCGATACCGATTCCCAATCGCTTTTTGATCCCTGAGTGACTTCTATTACCAACGTAGTACTCCAAGAGCTAGCTAGCTAGAGAGTGCCGTTCATGTAGCCTCCACCGGTAATGTATGAGAGGAAAACCGACTGATGGCTTGGGAATCGAAATCGGTAAAAGAGTGGCGCGCGAGCATGGGGATTGGTTCGCCAGACGTTTATTCGTGGATCGAATACCATTGCTCGGATTCGATTCGCTGCTCAAAAATCAGGACTGGCAGACATTTAAATCCGTGAGGTTTCCTCGCGACTTAATGATGGGGATTTCAAAGGGGGCTAGTTAAAACAGTTTTTGGCAGGGCTCCACTATGCAAAACTCAGTGGCAGGACCAATTTTTCAATCAGCGCCAGGTATACGGAGGCTTTTGAGCAGGTTGGCACAGCACTGGTAAAGCACCCACCTATTGAAGTGTAAACAGATCCAAGTACCCATGACAAATCTCAATGGATCAGATATGAAAAAGCTATGGGAAGAAAATGAGATGGGGCGATCTACACCTGGTAATGGTCTTTTCATCAAAAGGGGGAACAAATAGATGTTGTCATGACATAGTAGGGGGTATAACCAGTCTCCCCCAACAAAATGAAGCACCACCGAAGAGACAGATGCTTTCTTGATGGAGAGCCACAAGACAGAAAGCTAAACATAGGCGTGTCGGCTCCTGCACCTTCTCCAATCTCCAACCAGCAAAACCACAACACCACAACCACAAACTGCACATGTCTCCTTCGCATCTTGTCATCTTTGGGTTTGTTGTTGTTTGTTGTTGTTTGTTGTTGTTTGTTGTTG